GTATATAAATACAATTTTTCTGCATGAATACGTATATTATGAAAAAAAAATACTTAGGGTAAAAGTGTAAAAAAAATTATAAAGTTAAGGGTAAAAACGTAAAAAAACTGTAAACTTAAGGGTTTTTTTTGCGAAGTTATTTTAATGGTAACCTGGAAAACCTGTTATCACCGGTAAAATGGTAAAACCGAACATTTTTTGGTAAATATTAGGGTAAAAACGGACATAAAATTCAACTTTGGGCAAAACCGACAAAACCCTAAAAACTTGAGGGTTTTTATGACATTAACCCATTATGAAATTTCATCTAGAAAAAAGTTATCATACTTAAATGATTTTGTTTGAAAAAAAAAATGAAATATAATGATAGACTTCAAAATAATCGAAGTATACATTTTTTTAGTAGTTGCCCTATAGAAATAAGCAAAAATAGCCGTTTGTGATGGGAGCCGAAGAAGAAGCCCACCACACCACTTTTACCATTTTAGGCTCCGAAGGGTACTCCTGGTCCTGGATCTACTTTTGTGGGGGAAATAAATTCGGGCTTATTATATAAGTTTTGTCGACAAATATATTATTTAAAATATGAAATGCGTATATAATAATTAAAAGAAATGATTTGGCAAGCAATTTAATTGAGATTCAAATTCTTATTTTTATCAATATATGCCTTCGAATCCAGTCCCCCAAATATTGAAATCACCAACATGTACTATTTTTATAGCACAAACCAAAATATTGAAATCACCAACATGTACTATTTTTATAGCACAAACCAATTTTTCTCTACTAGTTATTTTATATATTTTATTATCTGATAATTCTATATATTTATATTTGTATAATCACATCACTGGAACTATTTCTACGCGATCTTTAATCAATCAATAAAATGAATGTATATATTTAGTTACAGCCATTAAGCTCACATTTATTACAAAAGTACAAAACACAAGTACGAGCGTTATGTCACGATTTTAAGGTCATTGAAAAGTTTTTGGACATATTATGATTGAAAAGTTTTTTTACATAATTTTAGTTTTAATTAATTTTATAATAATTATTGACTTATCAATGAAATGTATCTCGAAATGTTTATTTGGAAGTGTTTAAGATCACCGTTTTTTAATAAAAATTTATGATTTTATGTACTAATCCTCCTTAATAAATCAAAATTTTTTTGTCACATGTACTCTTCTCCTTCATTTGGACACATGACATATTTTTAGAATTTTAGAATTTTCTATTTTCCACTTGTCATTTTATTATAATTTTCATTTTATTAAATTAAAATTCAACATTTAATATGTAAGGTAATATATATATATATAATGTATTTATTAGAAAGAGTTTATATATGTAATGTATTCAATGTATTAAAGCATCATTAATTTTAATAATTTAAATTTTTTCTCATTTTTCTTATAAATTCAAACTTCTCAATTTGTTAAAATTTCATATTTAATTTTTTTTAAATAAACCCATGTAATACATGGGTCTCACGCCTAGTATAGTATATATAGTTCACATTTACTATATTTGTTTAACTTTTTATAAAAATTTAAGTAAAAAAAACGATTTTTTTCTCAAAATTCTGGAATTGTTCTTCGGATTTCGGACCTATTATTGAAATTCCGGAGTTTTTTTCTCGAAATCCGAAATTTTAGTCCGGAAACGGTCAAAAAAATTATTTTTTTTTGTCCAAAATGCTCATTCCGGTCATACATTAAAATACGGTTAGGTTACTCAATTTCCTCTTTTCTTTATTATATTATATTACCATAAATCCATTAATCATTTTACTTGGTAAATTGCCTTTTTGTGTGCACAAAGCCAAGGGGGAAGTTACCAAGAACATGAAAGCTGCATAAAATGTCTGACCAGACTAACTTATTTGGGGTCGATATAAGGATACCAAAAAAGTTATATGTTATTTGTATTAAAAGAGTTCATAAGTTTTTTTTCTATAATTTTAAAAATGAACACTCAAATTTCTTACAAGAAATCTACGAATGTCGTTTATGTATGAAAAGTAATTGTCATGGTGCCCAAATTAATATAACATGCTCATCAAATAAATGATATTAACATCAAAGATAAAAACCAAAACCAAATTTCCTATATGCAAAGATAATATCATGTGTAATTCGAATTCATATCTACACTTTACTACATAAATGATCAAAAGAATACCTTAAGAAACAGATAATGAAATTTCATATAAATGTTATATATATGGTTAATGTTGGACCACTTTTTTTTGCAATGATATGTACAAGAGAGCCATGTCTTTGAAACAATGATCTACCTTTTTCTTTGGCTCTTTTGTCAATATAAAGTCATAGCACCATAGTTGGCATGTTGCCATGTTCATTAGACTTTATTGGTCTTTTTGTTTTACAACAAATATAGTCTTTAATTTTTATGAAACTACATTAGGCCAATAGGTATACACCCACATCACAACACGGTGAAGTGAGGTGTCGGTCAATGAACACCACACCGCCTGGTGTGCGGTGCTACGGAGGCGTCTTGTCATCTAATGCATAAACTTGAGGACATTTTCTTTTTTACAATAACATCTAACGGTTAACTTGAGATTTAAACAATAGAATCTAGAGTTCCTCATGTTTTGCATCTTGTATGCTTCAGTTTTAGATGATCGTCTGTTAAAAAAAATAAATCTTATATGTTTATTCCATATTCACATCTAGACCTGGCAATCCGTGTCTGCGTGTCGTGTATTCGTGTCAGACACGAATTTACACGACACGAATTTGTTAAACACGAACACGACACGAATTATAAAACGTGTTTGGGGTATCAAACACGAACACAACACGTAAAAAATTCGTGTGACACGTGACACGACACGAATAGACACGTTTTTTAGCCGTGTTACACGCAAACACGAAAAAACACGAATAGACACGTATTTAATGATTTGTTTAAGCTAGTGCTATAAACTAATTATTGACTTTTACGAAATTGATCCCTAATATATTATAAATATAAAATTCAACCCTAAAGTATATATGTGTATATACGTATTTATACGTGTCACGTGTCAACACGAATTTGTATCGTGTCTTATACGTGTCTAAACAGGTAAATTCGTGTTTGACACGTGTAAGACACGAAACACGAATTTAAAATACGTGTCAGACACGAATAAACACGAAACACGAATTTCTAAAACACATACACGGAAAACTTGTATCGTGTTCGTGTCGTGTTAATCGTGTCGTGTATCAAATTGTCAGGTCTATTCACATCTATCAAACAATGCATAGGTTCTGGTTCATATATGTAAGTATGTAACGGTAGATATTTAGGTGGTGCTTGGATAGAGAAAAAAAAGGGTGTTTATTGCTTATTGCTTATTCCCATCATAATAAGTCAAGTTTAAATGTTTGGATAGAAATCCTTAAAAATCAGCAGCTTATTGTGGTAGGGATAAGCTAAATAACCTGATTTTAATAAGCATCTTCCCCTTGCTTATTCCCACCGCAAATAAGCTAATAAACAATAAGCTAATAAGCTATAATCAAATTTATCCGATCACCCCCTTAAACCAATTATTTTCCGCTTTGTACTAAAGTCTAACTTTTGTTAAATGAAAGTGAACTTTTTGCTAATATTTGTACCTATCTATATAGTAGTGTTAAACATGTCAAGTTTAATCAGCCAAAAAATGACAAAATTTTCACATTGATCAAATTGGTTGCATTAGATTGGGCTGGACTGTTGATATATTTTTACTTTTACAAATAATAATAATTAATATATTAAGTATGCCTAAAAATAATTATGAATATTATTTTTATTAAACCATTTTGTATATACGGACATATATTTGAATACATGTTTGCATATTTTTCAATCCGTTCAAGCAATTATATATTTTTCATCTACAGATAATATTTATATATTTAATATAAATCAAATGCTACACAAAATCATATTTATTTAGTGTATGTGGTTATATAGTTTATTAAATTAAATAATTAATCCCATTTTTTTTTTCAATTTAAGGCTCATTATTCCCATGGTTATGTAGTATTTTGTATGAATCCATTTTTTTTTCTCGTATATGTTTATATAGTTTATTAAATTAAGTCCATTTTTTTCAAGTTAAGGCTCATCATTCCCATGGTTAGTATTTTGTATGAATCCATTTTTTTCCTCAAATTTAACATTGACAGTTCATGTGGTTTGATTTATTTCGTTTTAGCCTAACAAATATAAAATGACTAAATCGTTCTAAATTCTAATCGAACTTTTTTTCTATGTTATTATTATTATCTTTAGTTTTCTAAAATTCGATGGCCATAAATATTAAATAGTTAAATACCCATCCTACCCTCACCAACCCCCCTTCATTCCCTCCTTGAATAATTCTCTCATCCCATGTCCCATGAAATAGTCTCCTCCCCTTTCCCCATAGTCAAACCACCGCCACCTCAGACGATTCTATCATCTTCTCTGTCGAATCCTCACCCTCCTCCCTCTCCCCTTCCTCAAGTAAACACGTTTTGAAGCCTCAACCATTATCATGCCAAATTATAATGTAGCTATTTCAGAAGATATCCATGAAAATCCAAATAAAAGGACTTTATAGATACTAAAACTTGTAAGAAATTAAAGTAGATATTTTAGATAAGTTCTTATCTTAAAGCAATATTGTTAACCTTTCATTTAATTTGACTTTTTGATTTGTTAAACTCACAGTAATTAATCTTTCTGAATAGAAACATATAATTAAGAAATGCACATTCTCTATATTATAATGGCTTTCTTCTTTTAAATATTATGATAAGTTTGTTAATCTACAAGTTCCATAAACTTAATTAGTACTTGTATACATCGCAAATGTGTTACATGCAGCTAAATTCACTTACAAACACAGTTTCCAACACTTGTAACCTTGTTTCATAACCTTGATGATACCAAAAACAGTTTACAAATCTTGTCGCTGTTTCTCAGTTTCTGCAAGCTTATTAACCACCACAACCACCACCGCAGCCACCACCACAGGCGGAAGCGTGGTTGTGGGGATCTGAGACGTTGTCTTTGGACGCACCATCTGCACAGGAGAAGATGAGAGTTGTGATGATGGAGAAGGTGAACAGCGCAGCCCAGAAGATCATAATCGCATGGTCTGCAAAACCGCCGTAGATGTTACCTCCTCCGCCATCTTCTGCCACTGATTTCCATTCTCTCACCATTTTTATCCGGTGTGTGTGGGATGAGGAGATCCACATGGGTTCTTATCATTCTTTTTCAGTTGACTTTTGGGTTTTTTTTTATTTGACTCGTTGTGGGGTGAATAGTCCTCCCTATCGTCTCCTTATAATATCTAGGGGTTTAGAATTTCCGATTATTTTGGATCTCAACCTTATGGTTGTACTTTATGCATTAGGTCTAGTACATAGTTATTTTCTTCCAAAATAGGAGATGATGAGTTGATCCGTACACAACAGTTTTTCTCCATACACAACAATTGGTGCTTTAAAATGTTGTATTGTACAACTATATAATGCATGAATTGTTGTGTATGGCAAAAAACTGTTGTATACGAATCACTTCCCTATTCCAAATATGTGTATAGATAATAATTTTTGCTTACAAATATCGTGACTGTGTAATAGAAACATGTCTCATTCCATTACAATGTCTCTAGGAAACTTGTAAGGGGTTACATGTAGATTCTAAAGTTTTACATTCAAGACAGCTTTAGCGAAAAGGAAGAAAGAGATGACTTTGGCAAAGATAAAATGCATTTTCAAGTGTTTATATCATTTATGTAACCTTTGTAACTACTTAAACAAGCTTAGGTAAATATTTTGGTTCTAAAAAACAATAATTGTATATTTCATTTAAAAACAATTATGTTGTATATGTAAGATACATGTGGAGTCAAAGATTGTCTACCGAAAAGAGCATTTATGGAGAGAAGTATATTCCAACATATATAGACATTTATTGGACCGTGTCATACCGATGTGGGATACACAAACATTCATGTCAGAGTCTGAGGCTCGATGAGGATAATCAACTATGAGGATAATCAAGGATGTGTTGAACCACGGGGGTGCGAGACGCCGACTTTGATACCATGTAAATATATGTGGAGCCCATATTAACTCTGTGTATTCCATATCGGTGCAACAGGATCCAATAAATGTCTATATATGTTGGAGTTTTCATTCTATCCACAAGGGCTCTTTTGGAGAGTTAATATGGGGCTCCACACATATTTACAACATATATAATGAAAATATGAAACTATAAGTTTGTAATCTTATAAAAGGCTCATGTGTATTTTGTATATGTTATAGGCCCCAAGCATATGTACATTGTATCTATTTATTATTTTGAATGAGATCAATATGTTTTACAAAAAATACGTCTAATTTTATGGTAGCAAAGATGTAACTAGTTATCTTCCCCCCCCCCTCTCGATCCCACCCTCATCTTGCCACCACCATCGATTCCCCATCGTCGTCCTAAACCCTATTTTGTGTCGCACACTACCTCTTTATTTGTTGTCACTACTGGATGGAGACAAACCCTCCAACACCGAAAAATATCTTGGCATAACTTATGTTTCCCTCACCCTCGATCTTGACGAACTCAACTACGATGTATGGAGTGAACTGTTCACTTTGGCGTTCTGGATCATCTTGAAAAGGTCACTCCCAATAAAGTCATTCCCGAATGAAGCAAACTTGACCTCCTCACCAGGTTATGGATTTATGGTACTATTAGCAAACCTCTTCCTCAAATGGTTATTAAGAAAGGTGTGGCCGCCAACAGTATCTGGAAGAGTATTGTAAATCTCTTTCACAACAAGGACACTCAGGCAATGCAACTTGATAACGGTCTTCAAAGTATTAAACTTGGTGACTGTTATATCATCGAGTGGCATCGAATTATCAAAGTGTTTTCCGAATTGTTTCCAACATTGATGAACCGCTCTTGGAAGAGAATATTATGACAAACATGATCAATGACCTATGTGAGAAACTCAATAAAATAATCGTCATTATTCTTGATAGATCCCTCATGCCCATCTTTCTTCATGCCCACGCCATGCTCTTAGTTGAAGAAGCAGGTTTCCATCTCACCCGTACTCCATATTTCTTACCATGACATGGCTTCCTAGCACATGGTTCTTAATATTAGGCCCACCAATAGTGATCATCACAACTCCAACAATCGAGGTGATCAAAACTACAACCATAATTTCAATAAAAACAATACAATGACCGCAAACGACCATCGACAACAAACCATTGACAACAACCACCATGGGACGCATGGGTGGACAACCTCACCCAACGACCTGGAACCCTGTTACCAGACAATGCATAGTCTAAAGCTTCAGACAACAATTAGACCTACAAGGCCTTATTTTCTTGGCCCACAGCATGTGGTCACCCGACTCATTCTCTTGGGCCATGCATGCTCCTCTTCCAAATCATAGGCCCTATCCTCGAATGACATCCCTGTCCAATCGATTTCACTACCTCAATTTTCTCAAGTTATGAGCCTCTATGATTCTTTTGAGTCTGGTTGGCTCATGGAAATTGAAAGACCGCGCACCTCTCATCAAATACATGTACTCTACACTCTATTTTAATGAAAGCAATTTGTCATCAAGTATTATTGGTGACGAATCTCCCATTCCTATAACTAACATGTGACATAACACTCTTTTCAACTACTCACCATCATCTAAACTGTCACAACTGGTATTTTAGCTAGGAAATTATATTCCTGTGTAACCATTCATCTATTGTAAAACATATACTCTAAGTAAATCTCACTCAATGCTCATTTAGATTCACCATTCATGTTCATCAAAGAGTCTGAAGCCCTAAGATCCATGGTTTAAGTCCATATTAGACTAGGAGTTCCTTATTGGGCCTAATGGACCAATAAGTACCCAATTCAACTTTATTGGACTTAGAAGCCCTATTTGGATCCTAATTGGACCCAATTCATAAATCTAAAACAGTTTGGACCATTTGGGTCTAGAATGATTCATTCTAACCCTAATGGGCCTTATTGGGCCATAACTAATCCAATTAACCTTAGTGAGCCATAAGCCCATTCTTTTATTCTAATTGGGCCGTGAATGCTTCCAAGAGCCCAATGGGCCGAAAAGTTTTATGTTTAGGATCCAAATATCCTAGCTAAAGTTAATAGGCCCAATCTACTCCACCCTTTCTTCTTGGCCCAAAATCTCGCCCATGTATGAACAAAAAAAAGAGGAGAATTAAGGGGGTTGACTTTGGAGGTGCCACCTCCATAATATCCAACATGCATCAAGACTTAAAACCACCATGAAACCAAGCTAGTCACCTCACCCCTCTCTCTCCCCTCTCCTCTTCTATTATCGCCGTGGGGAGCTCCGGTTCTTTTCGTTAAAAAGAAAGACGGATCCTTCAGGATGTGCATCGACTATAGGGAATTAAACAAACTCACCATCAAAAACTGGTATCCACTTCCACGAATTGATGATCTATTTGACCAACTTCAAGGAGCTAGTTACTTTTCAAAGATAGATCTGAGATCCGGTTATCACCAACTCAAAGTCCGAGATGAGGACATTCCTAAGACGGATTTCCGAACTCGTTACGGTCATTACGAATTCGTCGTAATGCCCTTCGGTCTAACAAATGCCCCCGCTGTATTTATGGACCTCATGAATCGAGTCTGCCGCCCATTCCTTGACAAATTCGTGATCGTATTCATCGACGATATTCTCGTGTACTCTCGAAGTGAAGAAGATCATAGCTAACACCATCGACAGATTTTAGAAACCCTACGGGCTGAAAAGTTGTATGTGAAACTCTCCAAGTGCAAGTTCTGGCTCCGCAGTGTGAACTTCCTGGGCCATGTAGTCAGTCAGGAAGGAATACATGTGGACCCCACCAAAATCAAAGCAATCGAAAACTGGGCAATTCCATCAACGCCGACAGAAATTCGCCAATTCTTGGGTCTCGCAGGCTACTACCGAAGATTCATTCAGAACTTCTCCAAGATAGCCAAACCTCACCACGTTGACCCAAAAGGGCGTACCCTTCAAATGGACCGAAAAGCAAGAGCTTGCCTTCCAAACCTTGAAGCAAGCCCTCTGTAGTGCTCCAGTGCAATACTTACCGGAGGGAACCGAAGACTTCATAGTTTACTGTGATGCTTCGAATCAGGGTTTAGGTTGTGTCCTCATGCAACGAGAGAAAGTAATTGCTTATGCATCCAGACAACTGAAAACACATGAAGTAAATTACACTACGCAAGATCTTGAACTGGGGTCGGTGTTATTCGCCTTAAAAATTTGGAGGCACTACCTCTATGGTACCAAGTGCACCATCTTTACAGACCACAAGAGCCTCCAACACATTCTAAATCAAAAGGAACTAAACATGAGGCAACGAAGATGGGTTAGTTGTTAAACGATTATGAGTGTGAGATTAAATATCATCCCGGCAAGGCTAACGTGGTAGCCGACGCCCTGAGCAGAAAGGAGTATTCAAATCGTCGTGTGAAGATTCTGTCAATCACTATCCAATCTCATCTAGCTTCACAGATCAAGGAAGCTCAATTGGACGCATTGAAGCCAAAGAATGTCGCTAGTGAATCGCTACGAGGAATGGAGAAGGAGTTCGAAGTTAAAGACGACGGAACCCACTATTTCATGAATAGAATCTGGGTTCCCAAAATTGAGGGATTCAGAGAGATAGTCATGCATGAAGCCCACAAGACGCGATATTCTATTCATCCGGGGTCAGATAAAATGTATTTGGATATCAAGCAGCAATATTGGTGGCCTAATATGATGGCAGAAATAGCTACTTTCGTGGGCAAGTGTCTTACTTGCGCCAAGGTGAAAGTGGAATACCAAAAGCCCTCGGGACTATTGCAACAACCAGTGATACCCGAGTAGAAATGGGAAAGGATTACTATGGACTTCGTGACCAAATTGCCGAAGACAGCGGACAGATTGGATGCTATCTGGGTAATTGTCGATAGATTGACAAAATCCGCTCATTTCCTGCAAACAAAAGAATCCTACAAGATGGAAAAGCTGACCCGAATCTACATCAACGAGGTCGTGAAACTCCATGGTGTGCCAGTATCTATTATCTCGGATCGAGATAGCAGATTTACTTCAAGATTCTGGCAATATCTTCAGAAGGCAATGGGAACACAACTAGATATGAGCACCGCCTACCACCCACAGACGGATGGTCAG